TTTAGTTTTTTAAGACAGGGTTTCTTTGTGTAGACTTGGCTGTCCTGGAACTCCCTCTGTAGACCAGGGTGGCCTAGAATTCAGAGCTCCTCCTGCCTCTGCCTGCCAGTGCTGGGATTAAAGATGTGCATCACCACCACCACCAGGAGGGCAATTTTTGACCTTACATTGTTAAGTAGCATGCTGGTAGAGACCATTCCTTTCCTGGTTGGTATAGAGACTTGTTCAGGGAACTCTGCTTTGTGTTTCTATTAATGGTTTTAAGACAGGTGAGACTACAAGGTCCTGGAAGTGTATACCCACCTTGTTTCTGTCTGAACTAGTGAGTCATAATAAGACAGGCTGTGACCTTATTATGATCTAGTCAATGAGGACAGCTTTTTTCCCATTGTTTTCTTTGGCAGATTAAGCAACTAGACACTCTCAGGGCTTGAGAACAAGCTCTTAGAAGGGAGAAATGACTTGTCTAAGGCCATGTTGAACTCAGTTCAGCTTTATTGAGTATTTCCTAGATGTTAGCATTGACTTGACTACCCTTTATAATAGAGCCTTTATTATCTCCCTTTTACATGAGGAAACTAATGTAAAGAGAAACCTATAATTTACCCAGTTCCACAAAGATCATGAGCATCATGATGCTCTCTGAACTCTATCATAGGGGATGCAAGAACTTGTGACAGAAAGCTGTTGTCATTCTAGGACTATAGGTGCTAATACATAAATGAGCATACTAACTTACGTTCATTTCCCCTTCTTCTGTACTTAGAGATAGTCATTCAATTCTATGAACTCATTTGTTCAAATGTGCAGTGTTGCCTGCCCTGAGAGACTTTGGATAACTTCCCTGAGAGACTTGGGATAACTCTGGGGAACAGCCAGCTAGACTTAGGTCACGGTAATTCTATTTTGTCACCTTTCAGAAACCACAGGGCTACTTTCACTCATGCACAACACTTTGCCTAAGATCATCTATCTGTCTGTGTACCATATAGATATAGACTCTATATCTCTCTCTGTCTACACACACACACACACACACACACACACACACACACACACACACTTTTTTTTAATAGTGGTATGTTGACTTCTATATGGCTTTTTGAAAGGATTTTTAAGTTACTTATCCCTTCTCATGTTCCTTCCTTTGTTCTGCCCTCCTATACCTCCATCCCAAGGTAACCCTTGCTATTCTGTTCCATTAATCCCCTTTAAGGTTGCATAGCACAGCTGTCCATCTCCCCTCCTTTGGAATCTCCCCCCCCACAACCCAATGGCCCCTACTAATTTTATGACCTTTATGGGTATTCCAAATGAAACACATATCTGAAGATTCAAAGCTAACATTGGCAAATAAGAGAAAGCATACAGTGATTTGGATAATGTATCGTCCGTAGTCTCAGGCATTTGTATACTTGATCCCCAGATAGCGGCACTGTTTGGAGAGGCTTAGGAGGTATGTTCTTGCTGAGGAAGTACATGACTGAGGGTGCAATTTGAGAGTTTAAAGACTTGTACCATTTCTAATTCACTCTCTGCTTTGTGCTTATGATTTAAGGTGTGAGTTCAGCTTGTTGTTCTAGCCACTGTGTCTGATTGCTGCCATCCTTCCCTACTGGGATGGTGATGAACTCTTTTGGAACCATAAGTTCAAACAAACTTTTCCCTTTATAAATTACCTTGGTCATGGTGTTTTTTCAAATAAATAAAAGCGTAATTAATACCAACATGCAAATTTTCTCTTTCTGAATGTGGGTTACCCCACTCAGAATAATTGTGAACAGATCCTGTGACTTCCATAATTTTATTTTTTTAATACAAGAAAAAATATAAATACACAAAGTCTCATTGTCCATTTATTAGTTGATGGACAGCTAAGACGTTTTCATTTCCTGGTTATCATGGAGAGTGCAGCAATGAAGACGGATGAGAAGGTATCCCTAGAGTAGGATGTGGAGTCCTTTGGATGTGTTCCAAGAGTGAGATAGCTGGATCACACAGTATATCTGGCTTTGAGGAGCTTCCACAGTGATTCCTGTACTGACTGTACCAGTTTCTCCTCTCACCCAAATCCACACCAGCATTTATTATCTTTAAAAAAATCTTAGCCATTCTGACTACAGTAAGATGAAATCACAAAGCAATTTTAATTTCCCTGATGGCTTAGGATGTTAAAAATATATTTCTCAATAATTTATGTCTCATCTTTTGAGAATTGTCTGTTTCAGGCTCTATTTTACAGAGTTTTTCAGGCTCTATTTTTTAAACTGGCTGTTTGTCTACTTGAAAGGCCTGTCTATAGACACTCCCAACTTGGTATGTTGTCAATTTCATATTATTATAATGAAGTGCTTGAGGCAATTAAATTGTGAGTAGAAAAGATTTATTTTGGATTAAAGTTTTAGAGGTTCTAATCCAAGGGCAGGGGGATCAATTTCTTTGTGCCTCTGGCAAGTGTTGTACACTGCAGTGGAATATGTAGTAGAACAAACTGCTCCCATGCAAAGTCAGGCAGTAAAGCAGAAAGAAGACTACAGAGATTGGGATTTGAGAACTCTTTTTTGGGGACCACACGCCAGAGACTGAGGAGCTTCCATTAGGCTTAATTCTCCATCATCTACCAGTAGTGCTATGCTGGGTACCAAGCCCTTAGCACACAAACATTTTGGGGGACATTCATTTGAATTGCAGCAGCCGGCCACACTAAAGACTACATTGACATTGGACATAGATGCTTAGAGACTTGTGACAAAGGGTTTCTGTAGTGTGACTCACTTGGAAAATATAGAGCAAACTTCTTTGTAATAGGCAGTGTCTGGAGCCAGGAAGGCTAGGAAGGGGGTCTGAGGTCCTGTCCTCTGCCATCATGGTGAGTAGAAGTTTCTGCAATCATGTTTCCTTGGGTATCAGTGGTGGTTGTGCAAAAACAAAACAAAACAAAACAAAAACAAAAACAGAAACCATGGCATGCTATAGTGTGTGCAATTCTAAGGCAAACAGGTCTCTTTAGAGTCCTTATTTGGAAATATTTGTGCTGAGTTACTACAAACTGAAGTAATGAGCATGACCCTAGCATCATTTTTTAATAGTTGTTCTACTAGAGCCATTTTTGGAAATCATGGTGAAAATGGTTTAGCGTGGGGTTAAACCTAGACTCCACTACTTGCTGGCTGTGTGATCTGGAAAAGGTTATCTTATGCTAGGCTATCTCACTTCCTACATTAGCAAAATTAGTATGGTAATGATATATATTTCCTAACCTTTGTGTGTGATATTGGATTGTATTCTATTCTATATATTCTATAGTTAAAAAGTGATACTTTAGGTTCTGAGTAGTTGACTTCATTTCTTCATCCTCATATAATCTGATTGATGTCATTTATATTGACATCTGTTGATCTAAGAAAGAAAAGGGAAATCTCTAAAATAAAACAAACTGGACTTAGGTTGTCGGCTGTCAAGTCCCTACAGACGATTGGAGACACCTATTGATGAAGCACTGTTGTCCCTTAGAACACTGTCTAGTTGTGCTCACAAACAAAAATGCTAGATTGGGAAAATAACCTATAGCATATTAGAGTTCAAAATGAGCAATTTTAGGGAAAACTATGCTGAGGGGAAAGTAGTGAATAATAGGAAGACAAGAGCATAGATCTTGAAGTAAGTCTGGTGAGACACTGTCAAGTGTTCCTAGGTGAGCTGGTGGGTTTAAAGTCTTAACTTTAAGGGATGGATATTTCCAGATAAAGTAGCTGAGCTACTTTTCAGTACACCAGTAGTATTTAGTACAGAGACATAAATGATATTAAAAGTCCTCTGCACCACTATAATGCACTTAGGGACTTCTAAGATGTTTGTGGGACACTCAAGCAAACAGACCCATCAGGCTATGAAGAAACTGATGGTAGACAAGACTTCCTGAGAGGAACATATTTTGAAGCATACATTTATTTCCACACTTTGCCAATTTTACATCTACTCAGAAAATCCTAGAGCTGTTCAGTAACTACATCAAGTTGGAGAGAACTTCAGGCTTTGGTTGTAGTGTTAAAGTATTTATTTAAAACATATTTTCTGACACAAGCAGAAACTCAATTAAGTGTCTTACTATGCTCCCCCGAGGGTGTCTTCCATTAAGCATCGCCCACACACTAATATTTATAGATCTTAGGATGTTAGTGGAGTGGCTCTCCTCTAAGGCCAAAAAGAAAGGAAAAAGTGAACATTGCCTTTTTATTTCAATTTTATCATCTTTAGGACCTCTACCAACACCTAAAATGGAGGAAGACCAAAGCATGTAAATAATTGCTAGGTTTTATTAGTGTTTTTAGAACTTAAACAATCTTCCTAAACTTGACAATATCAGTCAGACAAACGAAATCAAGGCTAGAGATTCTGGATTTGAAAAGGTGAGAAAAAAGAAGTTGCTATTAGAAACATCTTCATCAAGGCTGTATCCCCAGGCTTTAGCCAACAGCTTTGCTCTCTGGAAAATAAAATGTGTGAAGATATTGTTGTTATTGCTGGGAAAATCACAGAGTGTGGTCATCTCATGAATAGAAGGAACTCTAGCATCCATCTGCCTATGAGCTGTAGTTGCTCGCTGGCAGGAAGTCATTGTGAACCTCTTAAAAGAGGTAGAAGAGAGAGGCGTGATGTCTTTTTCTCCATTTTCCCACTATCCTAACTCGCTTTTAGATATGATCAAACTTATTGAGTATATTTAATGAATGTACTGAAATGTATTTAATAGCTGCTCTGTGTAAGACATGGCAGAAGAGTGAAAAGATCTACAGGGAAGTGTCATTTTACATAATTTTATTTTTAAATATTTATTTATTCTATTTTATGTGTATGATTGTTTTTGCCTGCTTGCATATGTGTGTGTGTGCCATGTGTATTCTTGTAGTCCAGAAGAGGATGTCAGATCTTCTGGAACTGGGGTTATGGATGGTTATAAACTGTGATGTGGGTGCTGGGAATCAAACACAAGTCCTCTGGATGAGCAGCCAGTGGTTTTAATCATTGAACCATCTTCCCAGCTCAGGAAGCGTCATTTTATTTAGGGTAAATGACAGCAAGGTGAGGTAGATGGAATCTCTAGCTCCAGCTACTTGGGAGACCTGAAGTAGGAGCATCACTTGGGCCCATGAATTAGATTTTACTGTGGGAATCATAGTGAGATCCATCTCAATAACAAACAAATAGCAGGAGAAGGCCTCTGCGACAATGTCACATTTGAGGTATGACTTGAAAGAAGGGACTGAACTTGCATTTATCTGGGTGGAGAGTCAAACAACAGGAGCAGCAAGCCATGGCTCTGAGGCCATCCTCAGTATTTTGTTTGTTTATTTTTGAGGTTAAAATGTAATCATGTCATTTTTCTCTTCCCCTTCCTCCCTTCAAACTCTCCCAAATGCTTCTCTTTGTTCTCATATTAATGATCTCATTTCATTAATTACTGTGACAAGCATATATATACATATATATATGTACATGCATATATGTATATATTACTGAATATAACCAGCTGAATCTGTATAATGTTACTCATATGTCTGCCTTCAGGACTGACCATGCGGTGTTAGATAACCAACCTGTGTGTTCTTCCCTAGGTGAGGCCATTTCCCCTGCTTTCAGAATTCCTTAGCTAACTGTAATTATTGTGTAGGGTTGAGTGCTCATGGGATTTCCCTGTCTACTTTGGCACGTCTATGATTGCTGTCCGTGTTTAGCTCTTGTTTAGGCAGTCATGCTGGTGACTTCATGGGCATAGATCACACATTGCTAGGAGACATGGTCTCGCGGAAACTGCCTGGTCCTTTGGTTTTTAGTTGTTTTCTGTCCCCTTTTCCTCACTATTCTTAAGTGCAGAAGTGTTCTGTAGATGTACCAACTGGGACTGGGCTCCACATCTCTGCATTTTGATTGCTTGTGGATTTCTAACAATGGTCTTCACTGAAAAGAGAAGTTCCCTTGATGAAGAGTGAGGATCACATTTACCTGTGGAAATAAGGACACATATTGAGAATGTAGTTAGGCACTATGCTGCAACCTCCCCGAGAGTTAGCTGTCATGGTATTAGAAGGTGCCGTGTAAGCTTCCAAAGGAGGGAAGGAACCACCAGTCCTACCCAGTTATGATGCCTATGAACCACACAACAACCAGCATGCATGGTAACCCAAGAGTGCGGGAGTGGCACACATACTTTGGGTAGTCAGTGGCTCTCTGATTGGACTTCAGACCTGCTGCACAAGATGTAAATCATGACTTCTGCTGGAAAACCTAGCCAAACACCCAGGGTTGATGAAGTCATGGGTCTTGGAGAGGAACCCAGAAGAACCATCCTCTGTGTTTTTACTAAATGGTGATGGAAAGGGATGAACTCTCATTTACCCTTAAGTGGTAGTTATCTGCAGGCTATAGTGTAGGGATATGCAGGGACTAGTGTTGAGGGTGTCAGTGGTGTCAGGGAAGATTTGGGCATGCATCTGGGTGAGATGAAAAAGAAAACCAGGAGGAAAAATTAGAATTTACACAGTTTACTAACTGGAGCATTTGAGAACATTTTGTAAACTGTCAAATTCGTGTTTTCTCACCTAACTGTGGAAGATCTTTATGATGTACTCAGTTTCAGACATTCAAGCTAAAACCTACTCACCATGCCATTTCGTTAATAGAAACTTGGCACAAGGAATTTCTCTCTTTACATGAACGCTGCCATGGGGACTCGATGACAACAAAGGTCCTGGCACCAGAGTCATGAATTGGGAGGCATGAGCTATCAACAGTGCTCCTCTCCACCCTACTGCAAGGTTTATTAGAGATGGAGGGACAATAGTTCCTAATTGTGGGAATGAGTCTGCAAGGTCTGTGATATTGTTGAACATTAAGCTAGAGCTTTCTAAAATTGGTTGTGTTGAAATGAGCTGGAAGCACCTTACTTAAGTATCTTGGGGCAGATTTACTAATTATTGTGCTGCAATCACTCTCCATCAGTAGTATTTTAAATAAATTCCCTGAGGAAGGGGATACATTCAGGGGATACTTTGAAAATAATTTTTATTTTTTAAAGATTTTCAAAAATTGTGTGTGCGTGCATGTGTGTTACATGAATGTGAATATTTGTGTCTATGAACACATATGTAGTGGTTAGGTGCCTTTCTCTATCATTTCCACTTCATTGCTTTGAGACAGGTTATTCTCACAGAATCTGAAGCTTGCAATTTGGCTACACTGACTGTGAGCTTTCAGGATCATCATGACAGCTTCATTTTGGGATTCAAAATTCAGGTCTAATACTTGCTCAGCAAGTGATTACCCCTTGATCATTCTCCCTAGGCCCAGATTATGATTTATGATGCCATGTTCTTCTCTTGATAATTCAGTGTAGATAGACTCTTAATCATTTGCTGCCCAAGAAAGACTCTAAACCAATCTCTTCCTCTTTCTCCCTCTCTTCCTCTATCTTTCTCTCTCATTCCTGCCTCCCTTCCTTCTGTCCTTGCTTCCATTTCAGAGTTTAATGGGATGCAAGAGAACTCTATTCTTATTTTACATTCGGGAATATGAAACCCAGAGAAATCAGGTTTTCTGAATTTTCTTCCCTTACAGCATTCTGTCCTTCATGGTTTCCCCCTATTGCTCTCTATCTCCCCGCTATTTGTGAAGCAACAGTGAGGTAAGTTTGTGCCAGGAAACAAGAGCCTCTCGAGAGAACAGGTTTGCTGCCCCTAGATTTTTGAGTGAGAATTTAGGTCAAAGCTGAGTCTGGATGGGGGTGATGCTCAGCGTTTAAAACAAGTCGTTGTTTGTGGTCAGAGAATACACTGCTTTCTGTGAGACTGTATTCACTTTATAGTTAATTTTTTAACAGTGTAATTGATTAACAGTAGCTTGTTTAGATTAAGAACATCCTTACTGGAGTTCTCCAACAGTAGCCCAGAGTCCAGTGACTCAAGAGGCATTTTAACCATGACTACCGTGTTGTTTTTGAACTATCTCAGGTAGAATTCATCCTCCTCACATTTGAATTGTGGTATCAGGTAACAAAGCTTCTTTTCATGCGAGCGATTGGTTATCTACAGAACAAAGGACACATCTTAGGTCAATAGAAACCTCTTTGCTCAAAAGCAAAAGAAAAATAATTTGACTCATCATTTTGAATGGAGTCTTATAAATACATAGTGGAACCTTTCAATAGAGTTGACTCATTAGAAGCAAAGGTACACTTCCAAACCAGTCTGAGAAATCCCCTAAGTCTGAAGTAGGTCAGAGTCACCTATATATTTATAATGTTTATTCATTACATTGTATGCAAACTTCAGCAGATGCTTGCTTAAATATTCTCCTTCTAAAGAGGGAGCTTTCAAAAGTAAAAGATATATTGATGCCTCAGTCGGAAGTAAACCAGCAGGAGGAAGCCGGACAGAGTGACTGTGGTTACTAAGTGAGAAATGCTTTGATCTCATCACACTGTATTTTATCACATTAGTTTTTAGTGTAACTATACATTAAATGGTAATACAGTTATTAGTATGCATTACCCTCCATAGAAAATAATAATATAAATCATAATGAGAGGGAATAAAAAACATCTCTATTAAACTCTGCCTCTGCATGATCTGCAGAGATCTCATATAGCACTAACGTTCATCTCCTTGCTTGTCATTTTGTGTTGATCTAGAACAATCCTGTATTTGAGCATGTGCATTTGTAAAAATATATCCCCCTCAGATTTTAATCCTCTTGATGAAAGACAGTGGAGAAAATGAGCAAGACAACAGAACATTAATTGTCTTCATTTAGAGTTCACATGAACCAAGAAGAGTAGACATAAGTCAGTGAACACAGTAGCCAGATGAGGTGGATTCCACATTTAGTCTAAGAACGGTGGAGACGAAAGCAGGAGTATCATGAGTTTGAGGCCATGTTGGACTACATAGAAAGTCTGAGGCCAGCTTAGGGTATATAGAGAAAGCCTGTCTAAAATAAAATTTTAAAAAAGACCTAAGACAGGAATTATTTTATATAGGAGAGGGTTTACTTTGGTTGTAGTTATACTGAACTATGGCTTCAAACTGTGTGTTATTCTAGAAACAGAGCACTCAGGCAGAGATAAAATCCAAAGAATGGAACTGAGATCAGAAAGTATTAGAAGCAGCAGGAACAGAAGCAGAGATATCTGGATGCAGAGGCTGGAGTTTGAGAAGTCGGAGGGGCTGTGCCAAGGGTGGTGCTGCACTTTATTCTAAATATGGCAGGAAGGCATTGGAGGAGTGTAAGCAAACCACTAATGTGATCTGAGTTTTGTTTCTGTTTTAAAGATTATCCTGGCTGCCCTACAGAATAGAAGCAAAGACACTATTAGGAGGTTGCTGCGGCAATCCAGGTAAGGAATGAGGCTCTTTGAACTTAGGCAGTGATGTGGATGGAAGTTTCTGTCCCACCTGGTCCCATGGCTGTTCAGTCTCAAATAAGCACACAGAGACTCATATTAATTATAAACTGTTTGGCCGATGGCTTAGGCTTATTATTAGCTAGTTCTCTCTCAGTTATTAACCCATTTCTATTAATCTATGTATCTCCAAGTGGTCTTGGCTTACTGGAGAATGTCCAGACATCCTACCTTCTTGGTCATCTCCTTGACTCTGCCTACTACCTTTCTCTATCCCTGTTTGGATTTCCCACCTGGATAAATCCTGCCTGTCCATTGGCCAAAGAAGCTTTATTCATAAATCAATAAGAGAAATATATATTCACAGTATACAGAAGGACATCCCCCATCACAGTGAAGATTCAGAAAAGTAGACAAGTGTGAAATGCATTCTGAATGTAGAAGTAAGAGGACTTGGATGATTAAGCTGTGCTTAAGCAGGGAAAGAAAAGAAAAGAACTGAGCATAGGTTCTTAGCTTTTGACTAAGGAGACAATGGTATTTTTTTTTGCATTGAGGAAGTCTTGGGTGCATGTGCTTTGCAGAGGGAACATCAAGAGCTTTCGTTGGGTCTAACGATCCTGGGTAATGATGCTCTCCACTTACTTGTGTGACTGGTAAGCCAATTGCATGTACAGAGCAGGAGACATAAGTGAATTGAGGAGGGGACACAGAAGCATGGCCAAGTGCATTCTGGGTTTTCTGATTGATGCTGGTTGTTGAACCAGCCTAGCTCTTACACATGCCCTGAGATGTTCACTCTTCTCTCATGTATTCTCTGGAAGATGTTTCTGGGGACTGAAATGAGTCCCTTTCTAGGTGAAGGGAGACAGTGATTGGAAAGAGTCAGACAAGTAGTGACTTGCTGTTTTGAATCCTCATTTGACTTAAAATTGTCATGTTGGAATTATTCATTAACTTAACTGTCACCCTAAGTCTTCCTGGTTTGTGAACTTATATATTCCGCAAAATCTAGGAACTAAAAAAAAGAAAGTATTTCCTCTAATAACCTACTTCTTACCTCCTTAATGTTTATCTTTCAACTCCCATCCAACCATGTGAGGTGCACTCTCACCCTGAACTCTTGGGGAAGGGTCTAGGCCCTGCCCTATATGAAATGAAAGACTATGGACACCCCCATGGAGGGCCTCACCCTCCCTGGGGAAATGAGGGGATAATGGGGGGTTGGGGGGAGGGCACGGGAGGAGGGGGAGGGAAAGGGAGAGGGACCTGGAACTGACTTGTGAAGTAACCTTGTTTCTTATCTAAATTTAAACTGAAAAATAAATAAAACAATCAATAAATATAACTCAAATGTTCACTTGAAACAGTGGTCCTCAACCTTCCTAGTGCTGGGACTCTTTAGCACAGTTCTTCATGTTGTGGTGATTCCCAACCATAACATTATTTTTGTTGTTACTGTTGTGAATTATAATGTAAATATGCAGGATAACTGATATGTGATTCCTGTTCTACTCTCACAGGGTTCCTGATCCACATATTGAGAATTTCTGATTTAAAAGCATAGCACTGCAGTTATATCTTATCACTGATCCATTGTTTTCAT